AATTTAGAGCAGTTTTAGGTTACAGCAAAATTGAGTGGAAGGTACAGAGATTCCCATGTATTCCTACCCCCACACATGCATAGCCTCCCCCATTATTAATATCCCCCACTAGAGTGGTGCATTTGTCACAACTGATTGACCTATATTGACACATTATAATTATACAAAGCCCATAATTTACATTAGGGTTCTTGTATATTCTATGGGTTTCGACAAATGTATAATGACATGTGTCCACCTTTATGTATTATAAAACCTTATTGATTACTGTTCCTTTGAAAACTTAATAACTGTGTTACCTGGAGTAAGCTTCTTAACTTTTCTGTGCCCGTTTGGTCTTCTGTAAATGGAATTAAAAAGTAGCACCTCATGGGATTGAGTTAACATTAACATGTGAAGTGCTCAGAAAGACAACTGGTAGGTACCACAGTTAAAAGTCCAATAAATATCCGTTGTTGGGCCTATGTCTTTTTATTCTCCCTTGCTTCACTGTCAATGGGGCACTTTCCTTTTCCTCTCTTCAGACTCATTACAGGTGCTGTTATGTTCTGTTACAGTTCTGTTTTTTTACCCCTCCCCCCGCTACATTTGTCACCGAAGTGAAGCCCCAGGTCTCCAGAGCCCACTCTCCGAGTGAAACAGGAAGATCAATGGCTACTCCCCTTTGAACATAATGAATGTCAGGAGTTCTTCTGTGATGGGTTAAAGTTGTACTTATCCCCATACACAATAAGGAATGACTGGTGCTCAACGTGACTCCTCGCCCCTTCCCCTCAAGGTCCCCAGCCAGGTGGGACGCCTCCTGGAGTTTTCAAATAACTTGAATCCACTTATTAAATACAAATGGATCAAGTTTGTAGACCAAAATGCACTTACCTCTGTGGGGCCTAGAAAGAGAGGCATTATGGAAGGTGTAATAGTACTTGTTCTTAAATGCCTTCCAAAGAGCCCCCCGTGCTGTTACTGCGACTTCTCATTGAAGGACTTCAACCCCTAGAGCCAGGAACCTGCACAGTTTGCATTGTCTTATGCTAACAAGACTGTGCATCAGTTTTATTAGATCTTTGTTCTTCTGTGGGTTTTTATTTTTATCTTGACAAGCACTTCATACTCCTTTTACTCTCATCAGTCCCTTCCCTGTTTAGGAATTCTTGCTCCAAATGATTGTATTTATGTTTTTAGAAGAGAAAAGGAACGACAAAAAGACTCTGATCGTTGCCAAATGCGGCCGTGACTTCTGCAGTGGCCAGTTTCGCCGCTTTATGAGCCTGGTTTGCTGTCCTGACCGATCTTCTGGAGGAGACTAGTCCATAGTGAAAATCGAAGGACAGTTTCAAGTTCTCACCAGTTTATTTATGTCTTTACTCAGTATTTATTCTGCAGAATAAATCAATAGATGTTATAGGAGAGATACTAATGATTCCTTAAAATATACACAAGTTCTATTAATTTCAAAATTTAAAATTAGAGTTTACTTAGAAAAAAATTATTTAAATTTGGAAATGGCACAGAGTGAAAAATAAGTTTTTACTTAAAAACTTTAGAATGTTAAGGTAAAGCATTTTCTTAGTTTAAAATCTTTTTAAAATATGAATTTAAAATATCTGTATCAGCTTAATAGTTACTTTAAAATCCCCTGCTACCCCCAAACTCCTTCAGTTCTGATTTCTAAAACAATTTCTTTTAATTGTGAAGTTTAACTTTGCCTGAAGTTCTTTCAGTGTGAGCATGTCTAAGTTCATTTTCTACCTGATTAAGAACACCATGTTCCTTAACCTGTCAACAGCTCAGTTGAGCAGTCAGACTGTATTATTCAATATCGTGTGTGACATGAGGACAGCAGTCCAAAGGGAGAGATATCACAAATTGGTGCCACACTCCGGTAAATAGAGACATTTTATTTTTCACCAAGCTAATTCAATCCAGTTCAGTTAACTCTTTTTCCCCCCTTAAGGAAGGATCAAAAAACGCAGCGTGAATGCCTGAGTCCGTCATCTGTGTGACACGTCAGTGTGTGACTATAAAGCCGGCCACAGGGAGGGGTTCTGCCTTTAGACTTGAGACAATGCCCCATACAATTGCCCTGAGCCCAGGCCTGCACTGGGGATTGCTGAGTGGCAGGGGGCTCCGATTACAGGCAGGTAGGATGGGAAATAGTGGGGCTCGCTGCACTCGGCACGCTTTTCCCTCCCCCTGCACCCTGTTCAGTCTGATCTTTCTAATAATTCTCAGACGTGCTTCAGGCTGTCACTGAGTTTCACTTTAGTTCCAGAGGCCACAGCCATCGGACATTACGTATTGCTGGTTTTATGATCTTGATAAAATCTTGGTCCTACATGTCTGTTTCTTAAGAACCCTTATCCCAATAAATCTAATACCAGAATTTCTATTTCTTAGTTCACTGATTTCTTCCCGAGACATAATGCAATTTATACAGTCTTAATATTGTTTATTCTTCAAGGATGTAATGGGCTGGATAATGCTACTGCCCATGAAATTTTTAAATAACATTATGAAAGAAGACAAAGTATGAAACATTGTCGCCCGATGGATCAGGTCTAAGAGCCTCATCTTTGCATCAAACCCTTCAAGCGCTCCTCCCCCTGCTGCCTTGTGTTCAGTCTCTTTGATGTCCACTGTGAACACTGCTTTCTAGCAGCCCAGGCTGTGCCCTCTGTTTTGAGAGTCCTCCCTCTGTGGCCTGCCTAAGCGATTCTTCATGTAATTGAAAATCCTCCTTCTCCATGGACTCAGACCTTTCTGGACCAGTTGCTGCAAAAGGACACTTTTTTCCACTACAGGGTCTGACAATGTCACTTGCAAGGGTGCTGTCTCCACCTCCCCCAAGTGCAGCTGGATGGACCATGCGCTTGCCCAGAATGCTATGAGGTGCACTTTCTGGTCAACCCACGTGGCTGGTATGTTCAGGGCTTCGCAGTGTAACCCGTGCTCAGGGGCCAGAGCTGTGGCCGTGCCACAGGTAGGAGGACAGGTCCCAGAGCCAGACTCTCCATTGCCATCTACGACCACACGCAAGTCACCACACCTCCTTGTGGCTCTCGTGTCCTCATTTTGAAAATGAAGATGATTATATCACAATAAGTATAACACCAGTCCAGTGTTCCTATTTTCTGAATGTATTCTGAATGTAAAAGCTTATTTTTTTTACTCTGTGGTATTTCTACATTTTAATAATTTTTCTAAATAAACTAATTTTAAATTTTGAAATTAATACACTGAAATATGTCTTAAGGAATCATTATTATCTCTCCTATAACATCCACTCTT